ACTGGTTTTGACATATCGAATACGCCATGGATAGCTTGCCAGGCTCTGCTGTGCGGCCGGGATATTCTTGGTAGCTTGTCAGGCTCTCCGAGAGGGATAGAGGTTTTTAGTGCAGCCTCTAATCATCCTTGCAGGTGTTCTCATGGTCCAAACCATATTTGAACCCTATCAAATATGGTGCAGTAATCTTGGAAAATGGGTATTAAGTGTCTTATGATGCGTCGTGTGGCCGCTTTGAGGCCGCATGGTCCAGAAAGCATCCTGGAGTATAGCGCTGGCTGAGTAGTGGAGGTAATGAAGGTAGTGGAGATCTGCTGATGGGGTATTTATTGGTATTGGTAGAGTGGGTCTTATATGTGTAATCCCTGGGTTACAGGAGATTGGTGGAAGCAGACAGGGTAGGGTAGGGTGGGTCTTTGAGTTTTAATCCCTTGGTCACCGGAGATTGGTGGGAGGCAAAGGATCATTCCCGGGTCCATTGAGCCTGGAGTTCTAGGTCACAGAGTTCCACTTACCTGGTTCTGTAGAACTTCACTCGTGCCTGAGTCTCGGCCCAAGCGTGCAGAAAGCATCCTGGAGTGTGGCGGAAGCTGGGTAGTGGAGGTAGTGAAGGAACGCCAAGAGAGAGATAGTCACAAAAAGATGCCTGTCTTTGAAAACTCTCAAGCTCATTTGCCAATGTGGCTTGGCACAAGCCTCAGACAACCGCAAGTGAATGTCTGAGCTCAAAAAGCAGTGTAGAGAAGCGATCAAGAAAGAGAAGAGCAGCATTTCTGGCAGATGTGGCAGAAGCCAGGAAAATCATTCGCAACGCCCGCCTGTCCTCCACCAACCACAAGACCAAGTTGACTGCCTTCCAACGTCCTGATGGATCTATCACATCTTCCAGAAGGGCAATGGAGAAGATTATCCATGACTTCTACTCAGATCTCTTCAACAGCCATGTCCACCTTCCCACATACCAAATTCCGCAGGATGGATATGTCATTCCCAACATTCTCCCTTCCGAAATCTGACACACCATTTTGTTGGAAAGAAGCGAACAGCACCTGGCCCAGACAAGGTCAGACCCGAACACCTGAAGAACCTGCCATCAGTACTCATCAATACACTGGCTCGACTCTTCACACGCTACCTCTCTGAATGCAAGGTTCCATCGCAATGGAAAACCAGCAGGACTGTACTACTGTACAAGAAGGGAGACATACACAACATTGGCAACTATCGCCCGATCTGCCTGTTGTCTGTCATCTACAAGCTGTTCCCTTGAGTCATCCTGAATAGGATTGGCAGAACATCTGAATGAAGGACAACCATGCGAGCATGCCAGGTTCCAAAAAGGATTCAGCACGATCGACCACATCCACACGATAACCAAGTTCACTGAGGTTTCTCGGGAGTTCAAGATGCCACTCTGTCTAACATTCATTGATTTAAAGAAGGCCTTTGATTCTGTTGAGACTGAAGTGGTCATTGAAGCATCAGGATCCGCTGTGATCTCTATTACAGATTCACTTCTACAGGATCTCACCATTCTACAAGGAAGTTATCATTCATGTCAAGAGAGGGGTTTGGCAGGGTGATACCATTTCAATGAAACTCTTGTGCCACCCTCAAAAACGTCATGCAATGACTGGAATGAGAAGGAATGGGAGTGAAGATAGATGGTCGCCAACTACATCACCTCCACTTCGCTGATGACATTGTTCTAACAACACCAAACATTAGCCAAGGAGCACAAATGCTGACCAACTTCGACCATGAGTGTGGAAAGGTTGGACTACAGCTAAATCTCATGAAGACAATGTTTATGAGAAATGGTCTCATTCCTGACATTCCATTCGCTCTCAATGGGATGAACGTCTCCGAATGCAACAGTTATGTGTACCTAGGTCGAGGAGTCAACATGATGAATGACCTGGCACCTGAGTTGCGCAGGAGGAAGAGAGCAGCTTGGAATGCCTTCAAGAACATCGAAGAAATAGCTAAGAGGACAAAGAACCTCCGGCAACAGGCACATCTCTTTGATTCCACTGTTCTTCCTGCATTAACATATGCCTCAGAGACCTGGGCCCTACGAAAACAGTATGAGAACACTATTCAGGTCTCCCAAAGAGGAACTGAAAGAGCTATGTTTGGAGTATCATGCTTCACTCAAGTGAGAGAAAGAATCTGGAGTTTCGACCTCCGTCGACGATCAAGAATCGGGAATGCTGTCTCATTTGCCAAGGCGTCGAAAATCAGATGGACTGGACACATAATGAGATTTGGAGACGACCGCTGGGCTAGAGACATTACCGACTGGATTCCACGGGACATCAAAAGATCACATGCCCCTCCCACCCATCTACGAGATGGTCAGACTTCTTCATCAAGTCCCTGACCGGTTTGAGGCTCTTTGTGTTCCTAGATCAAGCAGACGCCATTGGGTTACACTAACATGCGACAGGGACAAATGGAGACATTACTAGCGCCCGCTTGAGCAAATTGATGAGTAATGGGATGTCAAGTGATCAAGTGACCAAGTTATACTTGAATGTGGTCTGAAGTGGAGTTATATAGACCTTTGTAAGCAGTATATTTTGTTAAGGAGACAAGGTTTATTGCCTTTTTTTTAATCTCTTTTTTTTTTTCCACTTGCTCAGTGCCTGCAGGTGAAGATATAAATTAATGAGGACTATGATAGTGTGGTCTTTTTTAGGTAGGGTTAAGAAGCTTAATTTGTTTAAATGTGCTTGCACGGTAAGATAGGGCAGAGAAGAACCTTCCCCCTAACTCTGGGTTGTTCTTGGGTTGTAAAGTAACCAAAGTAATACAAGGAGGAAAAGAATAAATGTAATTTCATATGTATGGGAATCTATAAGGATATTGATTCTAAAGTCAACAGAACAAAATGAGGATCGCCTTAGCTGAAGACAGGCTTCAAGGAGGGTTGGGGGTGCTTCCAGGACAAGCAGAGATTTCTATGATGAAAACCAAACATTCTGTGATTAATGTTTGCCCTACCAAACAGATATTTTTCTCTAATAGAAAGGGTATTCCTGGTGAAAATTCTTAACACGGATGTTACCACAATTTTAATTCTTTTGTACTTATGGGAACAGTAATTTCTTCATGGGCTTGCATGACCTCTATTGACCTTAACTTGAAATGATCCATATGCTAAAATGATCCATTGGAGACTTTGTTGTTACTGTGTCTGGCATATCGAATACTCTCGGTAGCTTGCCGGGCTCTCCGAGAGGGGCGGAGGAATCGAACTCGGGTCGGCCATGGTGGCTGCTTGTAAGGCGAACACCCTACCCGCTGTGATAGCACAGCGGGTAGAGCGTTTGCCTTGCATGTGGCCGACCTGGGTTCGATTCCCAGCATCCCATATGGTCCCCCAAGCATGGCCAGGAGTAATTCCTGAGTGCATGAACCAGGAGTAACCCCTGTGCATCGCTGGGTGTGACCCAAAAAAGCAAAAAAAAAAAAAAAAAAAAAAGTTAAGCAGTAAATACAGATTTTATTCAGAAACTATTGAAATAGTTAAAAGAGACTTCAATATGGACTCAGTTCCTAGTTCCTGAATAAACTAGCTTCAGGCTTCTGAATAAAACGTTTGCAGCACTGCTGGGCACCTACTCTGCTTAATGGAGAAAGTGTTGTGACTTAGGGCATTTCAGAAAGGCAAACGTTTGAAGCGTAAAGACACTTAATGAAAAGTAAGCAAGACAGGAGCTAGTACAGCAGGAAGTTGCTGGCCTTACATGTCTGACCCAGGTTTGATCTCTGGCACCACATACATCCCCTGAGCGCAGCTAGGAGTGATTCCTGAGCACAGATCCAGGAGTAAGCCCTGTGCACAGCTGGGCGAGGCCAAACGCCAAAAGCAAAACAAGAAGGAAGTAAATCAGAGAAAGTCAAGAAAAAGCAGTAGTTGGAGCCTGTGAAATACTAGATTAGGTACGGCACTTGACTAGCACGCCAGGTATCTGGGTTCAATATCTGGCACCACCAGGAGTGACACCTGAGCACAGAGCTAGGACAAAAGCCCAGCATCCGCGGGTGTAGCCCAACAACTTCCCTTCTCCCCCAACCCCCAAAAAGAAAAACGAATTTTCTGCAAGAGCTGCAGAATAAGGAGGCAATAAGGAGGAAAAGCAAGCTTCTTTTAGATTAGCACTTCTTTTCAATAAGTCGAGGGATACTTGAAAACGAAATGTTTTTCTTATTCAAGGAAGCTGAAGTGGTAAAAGTTGTAACAAGTCTGCTTGGAGTCAATGCCAAGAACTTTGGACTTTGTCCTGATCAGTCATTAGGGAATTTTCAGGGAGGTGCGCAAATCCAATTTTATAGAGATAATTGTGTCCCAATAGACGATCAGCAGGAAAGCATATCCCTTCCCCGATTTCAGTTTACTTATTTAAAAGGGTTTTCTGCCGTTTTGGGTTCAACCGTGACAGCCTCCTGAGCTTCCTCTGTTTTTGTCTCTCGGCCTGGACCCTCACTCTCCTTTCCCTTTCGATCTAGATCCTCGCGGCACCGGTGGGCGCTGCACACCGTCAAAGCCATCCCCGGCGGACAGCGGGATGGGTCCCCGGAGAGATCAAAGCCCGGCAACCAGCACGCTCCACCGCGACGCCCCGCAGAGCTCTCGGGGGGCCGGACAGCCAATCGGTCTCCGTAGAGACCTACCTGGCCTCCACGCCGGCCGGCGAGAACCCACGGCAAAAATCCCCGGGCGCGGCGGACGAGCGCCGCGTCGCCGTCACGTGACGCGGCGGCCCGCGTGACCCGGAGGCCCCGCCCCCGGGCCCGCCTCCCGCTCTTCCCTCCCGCGGCCCGAGGCGCCGCCACTCGCCCTCGTGACCCGGAGGCCCCGCCCCGGAGCCCGCCTCCCGCTCTGCCCCCCCTCCCGCGGCCTTAGGCGCCGCCGCTCTCCCGCGTACCTGCGCCCGCGGAGCCGGCGAGCAGCTTCCCGGCGGCACTGGCGGCGTCCGGGCCCGCGCGCGCCGGCGTCTCCCCTCCCGGGTAAGGCGCTCGCGGGGCCGCTCCCGTCCTGCTTTCCTCCTCCCGCCGCTTCCCGGCCGGCCCGCCCGGCGTGGCCCGTTACTCCTGCCGGTTACCTCCGGGCTGCGGCCGGGCCGCGACTCGCTCCGCGGGGCTTCTCCGGCCAGCTGGGGGGTGGGGGGCGGGGGCGGCCCCGCGCCCCCTTTCCGGAGTAGGTGCGCGGGGCTTGCTGCGGTGCTCTCTTCACGTTGCTTTGGCGGAGCGGGGACCACCCCGCCGGCCCCCCCGCATCCTCTCTGGGTGCTTCCCGAGCTCCTGGCATCTCCTCCGTCGCCGGGGCAGTGAGTGACGAGCCCTGGTCTTCCACCCCCCCCCCCGGCCCCACCCACCGCGCGGACCCGTCCAGGGGTCCTGCCGCGCTTGGCTGTACCTGGACCCAGGAGCGCGGGGCGCGAGAGAGACGCTTCTCGCCTGCCCGGGAAACTACGTTTTTTTCCACGTAAGATAACTAGCGAGGCATGCTGCGTGCTCTCATCAGTGACTTTTCATATATATATATGGAAAAATAAATAATATATTGTAGTGAGACTTTCCGAAGTCACTGCCGATGGCTCTCCGCTGCTGGGGACTACAGAACAATATTCGATCTCTGTGTTAAAACGTTTGGCAATCTTGTTTGTCTTTAAATCTGTTGTTTCTACGGAGTCTGAGGCGGCCGGGGAAGAAGGTGGTACTCTTGGGGACAAGAATTGTGAGTTTCTAAAACCGATGTGGATCGTGCGTTATTAACAGAGCATAAAGATAAAAGAGGTGGGGGGGGGAGTGATCCAACCCTGATGGTCATTTATTGCCTGTTTTTAACTCTAGAAAGTATCCGTTTGATGTGAGCGTTGGTCGACTTTTAGTTCTTCTCCCCTAGCTCTCAGGATAAAGTAACAGTGTATTTTGGTTCTATTAATATAGCAGCTAATCTGTGGGGTGAATATCTTTTAATCCATCGTGTGAATGCCAGTCTGTTTATTTATGCTTCCAGACAAAGCCTTTTTCCTTTAACTTTCTCTTGAAGAGGAAAGATAGCTAATTTTTAAGGAAGTTTTGTTCACATTGACGTTTATTTATGTATTATTTTTTGAATTTCAGGCCACCTGGCAATGCTCAGGGCTTACTCCCGGCTCTGCAGCCTAGTATTATGTTGCTCAGGGAACCATATGGGATGTTTGAGACTTTCCAAAGATTGAACCCGGGTCAGCTGTGTGCCAGGCTAGCACCTTACCAGCTGTACTATCTCTCTAGTCCCGTCACATTGACTTTTATGTATGTGATCCAAATGATAAGATTCTGGGAATTTCAGAAAACAGCCATTGACCTCAAAATCATCATATTTGCAGATTTAAAAAATACTTAAGATTTTTAAAAAGTTAGTTCTTACATATACCAGCCATGAGCAAGGCTTCTTTTTTTTAATTTAATTTTTATAAAGTTGTTCACGATAATTTATTACATTTAATATACCAACACCAATTCCACCACTATTGCACCTTCCCACCACCATTATTTCCAGTTTTCCCAACCACCACCCAACCCTGCCCCAATAGCAGGTCCTAATTAGTTGATTTTGTATTGCTTGTTACGAGTAATTTTCTAAAAATGATCAAGAAAGATTTCCTTAGAAGAAAGTGTGTGAAGATTGTTGTATCTCACCTTGGAGTCATTAAGCCCTTACGTAAGTAAGAGATTACTAACGTGTTACAGGTGAAGCCTTGTGTGTGCGTTAATATTTTCTTAATCGAGATTGGTTGGTTGCCTTCTGTTTTACATCCCATCCAGTGTGATATGGTACTCTGGTGTATCAGTGGTGTAGAGTCTGAGATGTTGTGCGGCCACACCTGAGTAACGCTTCTTAATAATTCACCCAAACTGTTAATTCTGAGATTATATCCCTCTTTATCTGAAAGTCCGGGAGGAGGATGAAACTGAAGGGAACTTAAGGACCCTTTATTACTATTATACCATCCCTTCCGTATTTCTTGTATTTAACAGTGGCACCTGTTTGTTGATTTTGGTCCATAGGTGTGAAAACCTGATTCAGAAGGACATCTGTGTTCAGTGCTACTCTACTTACAGTAGCCAAGACCTGAAACACCGCAAGTGCCCAGTGCACAAAAGCATAGCATGAATGTGATCTGAGTTTAGCCAAACTAGAGAAAGTAAATCAAATAATCATCTGAATCAATTTTGTCTCATTATTATTTTTGGTTTGGGGGCCACATTCAATATTACTCAGGGTTTACTCCTGGCTCTGTGTTCAGGGAGCACACCTGAGACTCAGGAGATCATATTTGATGTGGAGATCAAACCAGGGTTGGCTGCATGCAAGGCAAGCACCCTACCTGTTGTGCTATCTCTTTGGTCTCTCAGTTATGTAATTAACACACAATATGTATTTAAGAAAGTTTTCACATATTGTCAAGTCTATAATATAGACATATTTTTACATGTTTTCAGGCCAGAGAGAGTACAGAGGTTAAGGTGCTTGCCTTGCATGCGGCTGACCCTGGTTCATCTCTGGCACCACATAATGGTCTCCTGAGCACAGAGCCAGGAATAAGCCCTGAGCACCACCAATGTGCCCCTCACCAAAAAAAAAAAAAAAAAAACCCACCAAGTTTTAAAAGAATGAAAGAAAATTTAGAAAGCACAGAAGAATAGAAAATGTATATCTGTGATTATATCATCCAGAGAACAATATTTTGGGGGCATAAAGTCTCTTTCACTTTGCTAATTTGCTGGGTGTTGCTGTGTTTAACAGTACTGTTAAAGATTTCAGATTTTAAGGGATTAAGTGTGATATCCAAATCTTGCTCATTTCTGAGTGTAGTAATACCAAATGCAGTCTGGCTAGGCGCAGTGTGTGTAGAGCACTTATCTTGCATGTATGAGGGTTTGGGTATTCTATTCCTGGCACCAAAAAAGACAAATTTAAAGAAGTTAAACATTAAAGAAATTTAAAGAGGTTAGTAGGTATATTATGTGTACATGAAAGGTGTGAAATAGCTTCAGAAGATAATGAACCCCACCTGGGAAAGACTGTCTTCAAACCCTTGTTATTTTGGAGTTTGGGATCATACCTGGTGGTGCTCAGAGGCTATTGCTCCTGGTCTGTGCTCATGGATCATTCCTGATGATGCTTGGGGAACCAGATGCCATGCTGGGGATTGAACATGGGTCACGTGCATCCCAAGGCAACTGCCTTAATCCAGTCCTGTACCATCTCTTCGCTCCTCCAATTCTCTCTTATCTAGTTTGTGGAGGTTTGTGGGTTTGTTTTTTTTTTTGGGAGGGGGCCACACCCGGTGATATCAGGGGTTTCTCTTGGCTTTATATTCAGAAATTATTTCTGGCAGTGCCCGGGGGGGCCATATGGGATAACCCCCTGTGGTTTGAATCCTGGTTGGCTGTTTGCAGGGCTAATGCCCTACCCACTGTACATCTCTCTCCAGCCCCACTCTCTTTTTTTTAAGAAATTGAATCAGTGTGAGATACACAGTTACAAAATTGTTTATGATTGAGTTTCAGTCATACAATGTTCCAGCTCTCAACCCTTCACCAGTGTAAATTTTCCACTGAAGATGTCCCCAGACCCTGTTGATGGGCTATGTCTGTCTCTCCCACAGTCCCTATGGCTGTTCTGAAATTAGTGTTTCTTGAGGCTGAGGAAAATTCCAAGGACATTCTTGTCAATGCTTATGAAAAAAGTCTAGTCTTGGGAAGACAGTCTATTTCTTCTTTAAAGCTTTAGTGCCCGAATTTCAAGTGGTATCGTGGAAACTTGAAGTAAATGTACATGGTTGTGACAGTATTTCCAGAGATGACTCCCAGCAAGCCCTGGGCCTGGGTGTCACCGCTACTTCTCCCTTCAAGAGAGGGCTCCTCTTTCTGCTCTGTTTGAGTCTAGGCTGGCCCTGCCCCGTGTTCTGGCTGCTGTCCCATGGCAGAGTGCTGCCCTGTCAGTTTGGGGCTTAGTCCTTAGAGGCTTGGTTAGCTTTTTCTCCAAGAATCTGGTCAGCTTGCAAAGGAAGACTGGGGCCATGTGGAGAGCCGCCTGCAGTGGCCAGGTAGGGGAGAGGCCGTTTCAGTCCTCAAGTTTTCCATGCCTGTGACCTCAGATAACCCTCATTGAGTCAATTCAAGGTACAGAATTGAGGGACCAGGAGATAGTACAGCAATCGGGGTACACACCTAGCATGTTAGTGACCTGGGTCAATTCCCGCCACCATGTGGCCCCCCCCCCCAGGCGTCTCTGGTGTGACCCTGGAGGACCCCAAGCACCATTGCGGTGGTCTAGGTATCCCTTGCACCACACAGCCTGAGCATCTTCACATCCCCACACCCTGTACTGAACTGCTCCTCTGTTGGCTGAGAAATCACTGGTTGGGCCCTCCACTTGGGAGACCCCCAAAACAAAAGCCAACAAGATACCAACTTGAGAGAAATATCAAATTTCTGTTGTTTCAGGTTGCAGAGTTTTGAGTTGGCATGCTACTCAGCAGAGAACTGAAACAGACTAGCATCTTAGCAGAGCCGGGGCCATACCCAGTGCAGCCCTGAGTGGGATCCCTGAGCACAGGCTTGTGGATGTTGGATACAGTAGCTTTAATAAAATATCTCTAAAAAGAATTTTACTTGGAATTTTGTAGGGATGACCTTATTGATTTGGAAGACTTTGGTTATGTGTCATACCCTGTAAGGTAACAGGTTAAGTTAAAGATCTTTTCTTTTATGTGATTGGCTACCATCCGTATGTATCAGTGGTCTCAGCTGCCACTCTGGAGACTGGTTCTAGTCTGCAGGTGTAAATGGTTGTACTGTCAGTCTTAGTCAGTGCTGTGACTTTGTTATCTGACCTGTGTAAAGGAATCTCTCATCACTGAGATGATGACTATGGGGTCAAATGGATATAGGCACTCGTTTGTGTCTACATTTTTGTGGCGAGGAAGTCAGCATCCTGATTGTAGTTTAGT